TAGATATTAATTAGAAGTGGGGGTTTTCAGTGTGCTAAGTATGACAGCCATGACTATTTAGTCCTTGAGATAGAAGTTGATTTTACCTATTTTGCTCCTTCCAGATAAGTCTTTCTCTTTTTTCTTTTTTCTTTTGTAAGAGACAGGGTCTTGCTCTGTTGCCTAGGCTGGAGTGCAAGGGTGTAATCATACCTCATTGTAACCTCAAACTGCTGTGCTCAATTGATCCTATCACCTTGGCTTCCCAAATAGTTAGGACTATAGGCACACACCACCACACCTAGCTAATCTGAAAATATTTCTGTAGAGGCAGGGTCTTGCTATGTTGCCTAGGCTGGTCTCAAACTCCTGGGTTCAAGTGATCCTCCCTCCTCGACCTCCCAAAGTGCTGGGATTATAGGTGTGAGCCACCACACCCAACTCCTTATAAGTCTTAAACCAGCTTCAACACCTTTGAGTAAGAATTTTTTTTTTTTTTCAGGGAGAGAAACATCTGTAAGTAAAATTAATATATGCCCGTACGATTGTTTTATATTTATAAATTAAAACATGTTTTAATCTCAACTTATAAAATATTGATGGTTTCACCATATCAAAGATTATATAAAATTATTTTATTTATAAAATGAAGATTATATATGTGAAAAATTATATTTAAAAGAATCAGCATTAGACTTTGAGTTTTGTATTTGGCATACACAGAATGTTGAAAAACATAGTTGAAATCAGTGAGATGGCAGCATTATTTTCTAACATTATATTTGAACAGAATACATTCCTTTGCCTTTCAGATCAATAATGTCTAGCTGTACATCCAACAAGTAAATTAGGAACTTAAATTCCTACAAAGAAGTAATATTTACTAGCTGAATTTTGGAAGATAGTATGCAATGCGGGATTTTATCCTGGAAAGACTTCCTCCAAAGGAACTTCACAGAGTGGCATTTTTGGTGAATTACCATTGATCAGGGTCCATTTTTCAACCTCAAAGATGTAGAAAAAAGATCCATAGATGGAGCAGACCTTTAGGGACAAAGTAGGAATAATAAAATTGACCCAAAACTGAGGTGTAAACTAAAATGCTTATTTGTTTACCAAAGGGACTATGTCTTTATAGTGATTGAAGTGCTAGGTCCCTCCTTTCTGAGAATTGAATAGTCTAGAAAAACAGATTGATAGTTAAATGATCATTTATGAACATAAAAATAGAGCCAGGGAAAGTGTATTATTTTGGGGATTGCCTTAGCCATGGTCCTAATGAGACCTCATGAACGAACTGTCTTCCACCAGAAAAATTCCTCAGAATGCTTTTGGGCGTTAGTCTTGTGGTTATACTTCCTAGAAGTATACTAACTGTAGTAAGGAGAGAGTTGTAATGCCTCTCCTTTACAAACCAGGGGAAGAGTGAGCAGAGGGAATGTGGAAGAGAAGAATGGTAATGAAATAACTGGCACAGGAGCCCTTTCAGGTAGATCAGTTCAGTAAAGAATGCATTTATCTCAAGTTGAGGAGCTGGAAATTGAGTCACTTAAAATGATCTATACCTCCATATCCTCTTAAAGGTGTTTGTGTATCCGATAGAGCCCACATATATGCATTCCTTAGTTTGAGGAATTATGGCGTTTGTTTGTATCTTTGTAGATAATGGCTTACTTTCTTTGAATTTTCATTCATGAAATAGATACTTATGCAATTGCCTACTAGAATACTTTGTTTTATATCTGATTTCCAGTTGCTTGATAAATATATGGATTGAATTGAATATTTGTTGAACGTGCCTGTTAAATGGATTTCCAAGCTAGTTTCTTCCATAATTTTTGTAGTTAAATGGACTTTATATGTCTTGCCATGAGACCTATTTGAAATATTCTTTTGGTAAAAAGATGCCATCTGAGTAGAAATTGGTACAGATAACATTTTTAGAAATGGGCAAGGATCTTCCTGTGATTGGGTGAAAAAGATAGCCATATTTAAACACTATTCCTCTTTCCCATAAAGAGTGCTCTTATGTTTCAAAAGAATTTCAAAGAAAAACGTGATTATTCTTCAGGTATATAAATATATTTTCTGTCAATTTCAGAAAAAAATGTAGTAATCTAAAGAAGAAACTTTCTGTTTTGTGCTAGAGATTACATGGGACGTCCTTTAAGGTAGCATCATAAAGATAACTCACAGTCATCTATAGGTAATTAAATATGATAATTTTTAGATGCACATTCAACAAAGAGGAAAAAAGATAACTGAGTAAAAAATCAAGAAAGGAAAATAAAGATGTGAAAAGACGTTTATTAAAGGCTGTACTGTGTTTCATAATGATTGGATTCATTTGCACGTTATTTTATTTCAGATAAGCATGGATACAGTGGGCAATATAGACTATGAAAGACTGTATTGAGCTCTTAGAGAACTGTAGAGAGAGAATTTAATTTACACATTGTACATGGTTTTGTTAGGGGTGGAAATAGGGAATGATGTTGCTCCAGCTGTTTCTTCATTTTGGCCACTAGGTGGTGACATTGTATAAAGACAGCTTGGTTGTGGAGGTTAAGATACTCAAAATTTGGTGTGGGACTGGATATCTATAATTTTTTAATATTCATCATTCAGCCTTGTGACACATTTTTGGTGATTTTATTGGACTTCTCTTTTTAATATTTATATGTGTACACTATCCTGAAGTATTTTGTTAATATCTCTGTGCCTAGCATATTTAGTGATAAACTGTATATGATAAACAGATACTTAGATAAACAAATGCCACCTGCCCTCCAAAGAATTCACAAAGCAAAACAAACTAATTGTTACATTTGATGTGTCTAAGAAACATATTTAAGATCTATTAAATGAAACAGAAATTTATGTGTGTTTATACTGTGTTTACTTTTTTTTTTTTTTTGAGTTGGAATCTTGCTGTCACTGGGCTGAAGTGCAGTGCCGCGATCTTGGCTCACTGCAATCTCTGCCTTCTGGTTTCAAGCAATTTGCCTTCCTCAGCCTCCCGAGTAGCTGGGATTACAGGTGCTTGTCACCACTCCTGGCTAACTTTTAGTAGAGTCAGAATTTCACCATGTTGGCCAGGATGGTCTCTATCTCCTGACCTCGTGATCCGCCTGCCTCGATCTCCCAAAGTGCTGGGATTACAGGCGTGAACCACTGTGCCCAGCCTGTGTTTGCTTTTTTTATTTTTTTTATACTGCTTGTAGCATAGGTATACATAAAGAGGGGCCACTCCAAAAACCTTTTCATCTGTGAATAACCGTTATATATTACTGTGTATGGGTAACCCACATGTCAAGGATCCTTCTGTGCCCTACCACCAACTTCCCATTATTTTCTAATTCAAAAACAATTGGTGACTAGCATTGTAGTATTCCTATGACTTAAAAAGACTCAGTCCCTTCTGTAACGGTTGAGGTTGGTGCCTCTTGAATTAGTGGGTTCTCTGTTACTGGATTAGAAGAAAGTAGGTCCCTATTATCCTTAAATTGAGTCTCTGAAGGCATTCTTTCATAGACATGGTGTTTTTAATGGTGGTTAAATATAGCTAAAGTGGTATTATATGCAGCCCTACTTTTTAAAATCAGAATTCTCTTTTCTGGGGTTTGGCCTCACTTCTTATTTTCTTTACAGAATAAGTAATTGAAAAAGCATTTTCTCTTCTGTACAACAGGACCTTTTCAAGTGACCATAGTCCTATTAAACATGATTTCTTACTTAAAACCTACCTCATTTTCTCTAGCAGGAAGCAAGTTGTTTCTGCTCTGTTCTCTTATAGTCCTTTCTAAGGATCCAACTTTTACCTTATGCTGATTGTGTGTAAATTTTTGTTGTCCCAACTATACTGCTTGTGTCTTAAAGGCAAACTTTCTGGCTTAGCCTTGTATCTGTTATCAACAAATTCTTGTCCAATGCCTTACATGTAGTAGGTGCTCAATAAAATACTTCAGATGCTTAAGGAACGCTTAGATGGCTGATGCCAAAGTAGTGTGTTTTAAGATAATTAGCAATGACTGGAAATAACTTTCTTTATGGCACAAGATGTTTAGATTGGCTTTTAAGATAGAAGAACTCCTATGGCCAGGTGTTTTGCTTTCTGATGAATGGATGCTATGGCATTGCAGTTTATAAAACACAATAGTTTGATTTTTGGAACTCAAAATGCATTCCTTTATATTTTATAAAATTCAGTACACATATGTGGCAGTTTCGTTGTTAGTATTCTAAATTAGTGATCTTTATGGGAGTCACGGATTCTTTTAAGAATCTGATTGAAACAATTCTTCCCCCAATGTATGCAACACCCAGAAAAATGCACGTGCCTTACAAAGATAATTCTGTACATTGTTTAGAGAGCTCATAGATTTCATGTTAAGAACTTCTGCTTCAGATTTTGGAATAGACTGCAGCTGATTAGTCAAAAGGCAGCATAATATAATAGAAAAATGTACTGTATACAAAATCAGTTGATCTAAGTGAGTTCTAGCTCTTTTTCTACCTTTGATAAATGTAGTACCATTTGGCAGGTCATTTAACCTCTCCTTTTTGCCTGTTTCTTCATTTGTAAAGTGAAATTGTTGGATGAAAGAGTAAGTGAATTAGCACATGCAATATACTTAGAAGAGTGCTGGGTGTGCTTCCCGGCTTTTCCTTCTAGTCTTTGATTCTACTATCTTATAAAAGATTTCTGAATTTTTAATGCCCCTCCCCCTCTTTGTCCAATTAATTTTCTTTCCTTTAAGAAAATTGCTTTCATATATATATTTAAAACTTGAATAACAATTAATTCTCTTATCCTGTAAGGCAAGTAGGAAACTAAGAACTTTAGCCTTTTCAGGAGTTAGATATATTACATCTGCTGAAAAATTATTACCGTTCATGTAAAATTTTTTTATAAACAGATTCCGTTAACACCTATGTCAGCAGCAAACAGATTGTGTTAAAAATATGTAACTTTTATGTATTACCCAGTAAGAAAACACCTTTCTTTTTTTTTATTCTAGGGAAGAAGACAAAAATATATTTGATTACTGCAGGGAAAACAACATTGACCATATAACCAAAGCCATCAAATCGAAAAATGTGGATGTGAATGTGAAAGATGAAGAGGTATGAAAAACATGCCCCGTTAATTATTTCCCTGTGCATTATTAATTATTATCCTGTGCATTGTTGTTCTGCCCCAGTGCCTTTTCCTAAATGGTAGGCCAATGAACTACAACTCAAAGTACAGTATGGTTAAGAGTATCAGAATATTTAAATCAGATGGTATTAGCTAGTTAAGATACTTTCTGTGATTATGTCCAACATATTTTTTATCTATGTTTTAGAAGTTACTACCTGAAATTTGTAGGTGTCTAATAGCTTCTATTTGTTTATGCTAAAGGGAGAGGTTATTAGCATACTAAGTGAAATCTGTAGGTAATAGGAAAATCTCATTTATAAATAGCTTTCATGTCTTCTGTTATACCTTGAACAACTAGGTATATTGCTTGATAAATATCTCTCTAGAAAACTGTCAGAGTTTTGGTAAAACAATAATTTAAATGCTGACCTACTTATTAAAGGAATCCTATAGTAAATTACTTTATAAAATGTATTACTTCTTTTTTTTAAAGAGAGACAGGGTCTCACTCTGTAGCCCAGGCTGGAGTGCAGTGGTGCGCTCATAGCTCACCGCATCCTCAAACTCATGGGCTTAAGTAGTCCCCTTGCCTCAGCCTCCCAGGTAGCCAGGACTATAGGCATGTGCCATTACTCCTGGCTAATTTTTTATTGTTTTGTAGAGATGGCCATCCAGGTTGGTTTTGGCTCTTTTTTATTTTTGTATGCTGTGGCCGTCCAGGTTGGTCTTGACCTCCTGGCCTCAAATTATTCTCCTGCCTTGGCTTCCCAAAGTGTTGGGATTATAGGCATGAGCCACTGTGCCTTGCCTATTACTTCTTAATTTATTTGTGTTGTGAATAATACCATTCACATATTGAGTTTTGACTGACCCTGAATTATAGCTGTTAACAAAGGAGCAAAGTTTACTAATTCACTTATAATCATTTTCTCATTCTTTGGTGATGCAAGGTGGCAATTGTTAGAAAGAAATCATTAAGTGATCACAGATAATCTGTAGAATAGACAATAATCAACTTATATGTAATTCAGAGCTCCCTATACAGGTTAGCCCTTAATATTATCTCACCTTTAAGGAATATCTTTCCTGTGATGATATTGTCAATGGCATCTGGAATTGAAAATGTAAGACTGTGATACTGCACAAACGGACTAGTAATACTGTGTGTTTTTAACTAAGTAGTGAAACAAACAGAGCTAAAAGATGTGGATAGAGAAAAACCAGAAGTCAAATTGTGAAAAAATAATACCAGGTCTTCTTACTCTAATAGGGTTCTTTTTCCTTTTCCTTTTTCTTTTATTTTTTATTTTTTGGCCTTTCAGGGTCAGAATACAAGCATACCTCTGAAATATTGCATATTCAGTTCCAGACCACTGCAGTAAAGTGACTATCATAATAAAGCAAGTCACGTGAAATTTTTGGTTTTCCAACGCATATAAAAGTTACACTATACTATAGTTTATTAAGTGTAGAGTAGTATTATATCTTTTTAAAAGTACATACCTTAATTTAAAATAGTTTATTAATAAAAAATTCTGACAATCATCTGACTTGCCTTCAGCAAGTCATAGTTTTTTTTGCTGGTGAAAGGTCCTGCCTCAGTGTTGATGGCTGCTGACTGATCACAGTCATGGTCACTGAAGACTGGGGTGGCTGTGGCAATGTCTTAAAATAAGTCAGCAGTGAAGATAGCTACAATGATTAAGTTTTCCTTCATAAAAGATTACTCTGTACATGCAATTACCCACTGTAGAACTTCTTTCAAAATTGTAGCCAATCCTTTCAAACCCTGCCACTGCTTTATCACTGAGTGTATGTTATATTTTAAATTTTTTGTTATTTTAACAGTGTACACAACATCTTTGCTGGAGTAGAATCTGTCTTAAGGAACCACTTTCTTTGCTTACCCATAAGAAGCAACTCCTCATCTACTCAAGGAACTAGGATTGTAGGCACCCACCACCATACCTAGCTAAATTTTTTTGTATTTTTAGTACAGATGGGGTTTCACTACGTTGGTCAGGCTGGTCTTGAACTCCTGACCTCGTGATCTGCCCACCTTGACCTCCCTAAGTGCTGGGATTACAGGTGTGAGCCACTGTGCCAGGCCCTCAGCCTATCTTTCGAAGCTTTGAGGCCAGCTATTGACTTCTCTCCAGCTGTGAAAGTCCTGGATGGCATCTTCTTTCAATAGTAAGAGTAGTCTGTTTTCTCTACATTGAAGGTTGTTGTTGACTGTAGTCACCTTTATCAGTTACTTTAGCTAGGTCTTCTAGATAACTTGCTGCAGCTTCTACATCAGCACTTGGTGCTTTACCTTGTACTTTCATGTTATGGAAATGACCTCTTTCCTTTAACCGCATGAACTAGCCTCTGACTTTTCTTCTGAAGCTCCGTTACCGTTCTCAACCTTCATAGACTTGAAGAGAACTAGGGCCTTGCCCTGGATCAGGCTTTGGCTTAAGGGAATGTTGTGGCTGGTTGATCTTCTATCCAGATCACTCATTTTTTCCACATCAACAATAAGGCTGTTTTACTTTTTTTATCATTTGTATGTTCACTAGAATAGCACTTTTAATTAAAAGTGCTCAAGAATTTTTCACTGGCATCCACAAGTTGGCGTTTTGCACAAGAGGCCTAGTTTTTGGACTGATTCTCACTGTCACTCAGGCTGGAGTATAGTGGCATGATCAGGGCTCACTGTAGCTTCTGCCTCCTGGACTCAAGCGATTCTCCCACCTCAGCCCCTCAGGTAGCTCAGTCCACAGGTGTGCACTACCACACCTTGCTGATTTTTGTATTTTTAGTAGACATGGGGTTTTGCCATGTTGCTGAGACTGGTCGTGAACTCCTGGGCTTAAGTAATCTGCCTGCCTTTGCCTCCCAAAGTGTTCGGATTACAGACATGAGCCATTGCACCCAGCCAAACTTCCAATTATTTTAATGTGTCTTTTGCAACTTACCTACGTAATTCTAAATAACATACTTATATTTCTTGATTTTTCAACTTTAGACATTATTGATTTCTTTCTGTGTTATATTTAGATATAACTGTTTTACTCATCTTCCCCCTGACCCTCCTGATATAATTATGTCACAACTTTTAATTTCAGCTTTCTGATTGAATCTCTGTTGAATCAGTATTAATATTATTATGACTATGTAGATATGCATTGCTAAGCTGTGGATTGTACTTGTGTGTATCAGTCAGCTTTTGCTGCAGCACAAACAGCCCCCAAATTTCAGTTGCTTAAAGCAACAAACATTTGTTTTTTTGCTTATATCACTGTCTCATGAGATGAGTGACACCATCTCATTTATATATTCTTACAATGCACTTACTTGATTTCTTGCTTTGTATTAATTTGATATTTCAAAAGGATTTTGGATCAGTTGAGACAGTCCATATATTTTAGCTGCTTTTATTATTCTTAATAGTATGAGTGAAGACTGATGATAATATAACAAAGAAATGAATAAGCCACTTTTCAAAGTCACGGTTTTTTCACTGGAAGTATCTTGTGTGTACAATATGATGGCTGTTAATACTTATCTTTCAAATAACACATACTTTATACAATGCATGTGATAGTTTACAGAGTACTGTCACTTACTACTTTATTATCTTTACAACAGTTCTCTAAGGCAGACATTGTCGTCATTTTACAGACAGGAACTGAAGTTCAGAGACCAGTATTTACTTGCTCAAATGCATATAACTGCTAAGTAGAAGCCAGGTCTGGGGGAGTGTCCTTCCTACCACTAGATTTTATAAGGATAAATTAAAAGAAGAAGTATAAGCAGTTGTCCTTTGGACTTCCTTGTGTTATGCTCTGATTTGCAATAATTTCTTTTATAAAATGTTGCTAAAAGGCAAATCCACATGTGACCTTCACAAAGATCATTGGATGGACAACAGTGATGGGGTGGAATAAGTGCCTAGAATACAGATAGCTTACACTAAATAACACATATTTTGTGTTTGAAAAGGAAATGTATTGCTTCTGCCATTTCGTTACTTTGATGTAGTGCTGCTTTCCAGACCTTCCAGTTTGTTACCCATGCAGCTACCTTTACCCTCAGCCTGCCAGAACATTGTGTTTCATGAACAGATGAAGTGCTTACACATTCATAGACTGAGACGCCAAGAATTCAGTTGGGTTCTCTCATTGCTCCAAGCAGATTTCTGCCCTCTCAGCCATGACAGCTCAGGTCGGGCTTTGAATACTGATGGCAAACCTTTTATTATTAATCAGGGATTTATATGAATTAATTTAAGAACATAAGGGAGGTGGGAACTTAAAATGAAAATCAAACTTAACATCCCAAAATAAATAGTACTGCTTCATCACATTTAAAGCTCTAGCAAATAAAACAATTTGGTAAGCCTTGATGATGGACTAAAAGTGTGTATCCTCAAAATTAAAGTTCTAGTTAAATATTTTCAACCCTTTTTGTCCTTTTGACATTTTCTTATTATAAGCTGGGTAACAATTAGAGTTCCGAAAGGACATTCAGTTCTTTTTTCTATTTATCTGGTATTTGAACTGGAGGTATTTCCCTGTTGATTCCCTAGGATTCTCTGAGATAGTATACACTTTTACTAAAAATGTTGATTCAGCGGGCTCAACCTAATTTTATGACTGAAAATCACGTTTATTGCATTTAAAATTTGCTGTGAGCACATAAAGAAATTTAATTATAATAATAAAATGATAAGCTACATTTGTATTCCCACACATTGAAATAAATACATATATTATTAACTGATAACTATGAATTTATAATTTATAATTTGTTACATTATCTGAAATACATACATTTGGATCTAAGTATTGTAGTATATGAGCAAATATATATGAAATGCCTTTTAAATTAAATGTATTTCATAATGAAGTTATTTTCTCGTGCATGAGTGTAATTCCTAGAGTACCTCTTTTATTCATTAAAGCTGCAATTACTACAGGTTGAATATTCCTTATCT